GGGCTGCTCAGAAAGTGCTGGCTGAGCCCCTGAAGCAAGAGAGGGAGCAGAGGCCGGCTGAGCTGGGCCCCACATCCCTAGTGGCACCCTCACTGTGTCTGCACCCACAGGGAGAAGCACCAGGCGCTGAAGGGCACCCTGGAGACGGGCACTGACCCAGGTAGGTCTATCCCCTCTGGGACTCACAGGGTGGCCCGAGCCCCCTCTGAGGGTTCTGGGGGAAGTGGAGGCCAGAGCCAATATCCAGTGGGCTCTTCAGGCCCCACCCGGCAACCCCCTACCCCCTTCCTCTCAGACAAGCAGGGGCAGGTGGAAGGGTGCCTGGCCCGGCTGCCCTTACAGCTGCTGTCTGTTCCCAGCCCCCAGGGACAGCCTGGCCCAGCTGTTCCAGGTGCTGCGGGACCTCCAGCAGGCCCATAGCTCCAGCCTGGCCGCTGCCCCATCGTCTGCGCACAGACGCCTCCTGGAGCTGCAGGCGTGAGGCTCGAGGCCCGAGGCTCCCTCTGCAAGCCCCTGCCAGGTGCTGGGAGACCCTGTGGACTCTCAACCCTTCACCCAGCCCCCTCCCTCAGTGCTTCCACTGGGGGTGGTGGGGGGTGAGGGTCAGAGTCCCAAGTGGACAAGGTTCTGTGACCTGCTGTCACCACCTCCTGATCTCAGACTTGCTGCTCTTCCTACTTCCTGTCGCTGCCAGGCTCCTCTCCTGCTCCAGCAGGGACAGCCCGGGGCAGGGTGGTGGGGCACACTCTGTGGGCCCAGTAGTGGAGGGTGTGCACTCCCCCTGCATACCACACTCCCGTTCATGGGGCCCGGGAAACCAGTCTCCAGTCTCAGTGGCCCCCTCACTCCTGGCTGCCACCCACCCACCCAGGGGTGCCCTGGCCACAATAAACCTGCTGTCACTGCCTGGGATGTGGAGTCTCATGATGGGGTCAGGGGGAGCCCCAGCAACTGCTGGTGGGGGTGACCAAAGGTGCGGGCCCCCTCACAGCCTCTGTGCAGCCCCCGTGCCTCCCCTCTGCTTACTTCCACCCTGCCTCCACCCTCAGTGCCCACAGGCAGGAGGCCTGGCCCTGGCAGCATCTAGCTCCCCAAGGTGTCCCCTCTACCGAGAGCCTGTCCCCATAACCCCAAACAGAGACCAGGTTGACTGGACAAATTCTTCCTCCTGACTGAGCTGTTTTGAGTTCTGCCCCGACCCCGCCAGTGAATAGACAACAAACAGGTTTTTCCAGTGATGTTTACAATGTCGCAGCATACAGTTCACGGTCGATACGCTGTCAGTACATTCCCCTGGGGGCCCCTAGGTCGGTGCCCTCCGAAGCTTCATGCACCGTGTTAATCTAAATCGGGGGTGGGGAGGGGAGGAGGATACTTTGTGTCTGGCCACTTATTTCAGTGCCCTTGCTAGCCCATTCCCGAGGTAGAACATCCCTCCTGATGACACCTCCGAGGGATTTTTACTGTCAGGACCATTGGGATTTCGAACTAGCTGAACAGTGGACACAGAGGGAAGGAATTGGCGCAGGGCCGGGCAGTGTCGCCTTCTGCCGTGCGTGAGGCCCCTATGGGTCAGGACCAACCCCGTGGCCTCTGACCACTCTTGGGTTGTCCTCCCAGCAGTGACGTCCCTGGACCACTGTGCTGTGTGGGCTGGTGCCACTGCCACACGGACTCTCGGGGCTCCTGGCACAGCAGGAGAGAAGACCCAGAGCCCCGCCCCCTCCCACAAAGCCTCTCGCCCCTGCCTTGGCCACCTAGGTGCCTCCTTTGCCCGCTGACCCCAGACCTCAAGGATCTGCCCGCCCTCGGCCTGCTCCTCTCCCAGAGGGTCTAGGTGAAGCAGGCTCCAGGCCATCCTGCTGGACCAGTGTCCCTCCCTCTGCTTGGCCGCTTGGAGCTCCACCCACTCGGGGCCTGCATCAAGCCCTGCACCGTGGCCCAGAGGGGACCTGATTTCTGCGGACAGAGACAGTGGTCTCTAGATTGCCCCTGAAGGGGTCCTATGGGCTGACTACACAGGCTGTGCATGGGACCAGCTCCGGTGGCTGACCTGCTGGCAGTGCCATGCCGTCCTGAGACCTCCAGACGTGGCTTGGCGGATAGTCCTTTCCGACGCCTGCCTCCCAGGGCTCGCCAGCAGGGGACTGGACCAATAAACACAGAGAGACCTGCAGGGCCTCAGACTGACTGCACAGCCAGCCAACACACACACACACACACACACACACACACACACACACACACACACACAGCACACCCCGAAGCGGGCCCTGCTCTGA